TCAATAATTAGAATTGGAGGTGGCAAAAAAAAAAAAAAAATTAGAACAAATTTTAAGGTACAAGTATATATTGACGATGTCAATTAGGAAAGTACGATAAAAGTTCGTTATAGAAAAAATTTGGACGATTATGTCAAATTTATTCGTAAAATTATGTTAACTTAGGTAAATACAGTTTTTTTTTTACAAAAAAATCACAATCTCGGGCATAATTCTAAAGATAAGTAAAAAAATATTTCTTATTCGGTTGCAGTGTTCCAAAAAATCAGCTAAGTTTTAAAGAAAACTCTTCCCGATATGATGATTTAAAAGTTCCGTTTTTATTTTTTTTTACTTATATGAAATATTTTTTATTACAAAAAGAATATCACATATTATATGGGGCACATCTTCCAAAATTGATAAAAAATTTTCATTAAATCTGTCACCAGAACTAAATGGCTTTGCGATTTTAGCATAATTAGTCTTTTATTGGATTCACACAATGTTTTTTTTGTATTTTACCTGTTAAAAACTTTCATTTTGCTTTTGAAAGTACTAACAATGTGACCGCTAATTGCAAACATGCAGCTAAAATTAAAAAGTTGTTATAATTGCAGTTTTTTTCTTGAACATGTCGATACTTATCAAGGTCGTGAGTGCCAAGAATATATGGCAATTTGGTTATTTGTTCAGTCCTTGAAGGTTATTTTCAGTCTTGAAGAAAATAGTAACAAAATCTCCCAATTCAGAAGTGCATGGCCATCTAATTAATAAAAGACTTTGCTTAATGTGTCCAAACTATCGAGGAAAAGTTTATTTCTACTTTGACTCAACTGTAAGCACCTTTTACCACGGCCACGAGTTTCGATAGAAAGTAACAAGTATTTATTTTGTAAGAATCTTAGGAAAGTATAATGAATTCTTATTTAGTTCAGGTATTAATATTCATTTACATTGTCTGCCATTTGGCAGGTTGCTCATTAACACGCTAATTGAGATGATTGAGCGCATCATGTGCCGTAAATGGAATCCTCATTGCCACTAGAGCTCGGCAGGCCTGTCTCTGGAGAAGAACAATCCGGTATGAAACTAATAAATCATTTAACGAATTAGGATTTTTAGCATTAAACATTTTATGTAAATAGTCTATGTTCCTGATGGAATAGGGCTTTATAATAATGAAGATAATTTACCATTCATATAAATGATCTCATTATCAATAAATTAGCTCGTTTAAGAGGAAAAATGTCGAATGCAACCCTTAAAAGTAAATTTTCCACAAGAAAAATGAAAATTTGAAATATGTATCATATTTTATATATAAAGTAAACAAACAACAGCTGAGCTGTAAAAAAAAGGCTCTGAGAAAGCACCTAAGTATTTAAAAACTTTTTTGTTTTTATTAATTGAATATGTATTTTTTTCATATATTAAAATGTATATAAATGATTTAATGTATCAATTATATATTTAATTTTTTTTGTGTGATATATTATTAAGTAAAGTTTATAAAAGTTTTATCAGCTGCATAAATGAGGTCATTATAATGTGAACGTTCAGTCATCACTCATTAAATGAACAAGTGCCTAAATGAGACAGTGTGAATGTACTATTAGGGTACTGGCAATTGAAGTGACTAAATCAATATTTTAAAAATGGTGCTTAATGAATTATTTGTACAGATGGATATTAATCCATTTTTAAAAAATGAAAAGTCTCTGCTTGGTTTTTTTTCAGATTGCTTAATTTTGCTATATCTAAACATGCTTCAGATTTCTAATATAAAACTTCAGGAAATGTATATATAACAAATTAGGTTAAATGTAAATCATTTGTCAATGAACTGATAATGAACGTTTATTCCGATGGTTCCAGGAGCATAATTGAACTAATTGAATTGGGAAAAGTTTCACAAAACCAATAAGTAGATTAGTACGGAGTGTAATCTACCGTGGTGAAACAGTGGTTTAAGTTCATTGCGAAAACAATGTTAGAGATTTAGTAATAAAAGTAAGCGAAATTACATTAAGATAGACTCAATGAACTATAAATACAAAATACACATATATAGTTATACATCTAATTATATATTTGAGACCATTTCTTTGGGTCAGGTAATTTTTTATTCTCTGACATTTTTATATGTATTATATATAATATTAATATGATATGGAACTATTGTTGTAAAATGTTAGATACATAACACGTTCGATATATATTAGTTAACATCAAATGTTTAGTTGGAACATTGAAGTTAATGACGAATACTTTGTATATATTTGGATATATGTATATACATATTTTCATAAATATATTTATTTTATGTATATATATATATATTAAAGCATATCAATTAAATTCATATGCGAATAGTATAACAATATTATATATCATTTTATAAATGAGTAGAAATTTAATCCGAAAATTTATATTCAGCTGTAATATTCCGAATGTCCGTCCTGCAGGCTGCACAGTTTCAAGATATTTAAATAACGCTAAGTAAAAGTGAATATAAAACTATTTCAAATATAAGTTAATTTTGATAAGCATTTTTACAAGTTGAAAAATGTTTATAGCTTAAAACGTTCTTTAATAGTACAAATTTAAAACCGCAACTATTTTATTAGCGGTATATTTTATATATACATTATTAATATTTAATTCAAGTTGTATGCTGCACTTAAGAGGGCAGAATCATATATGGGCATGATACAGTTTAATAATGACAATAATTTTAATTAAAACTATTACTTAAATCGTATTACTAATTGTAAATAAAAGTGTATCAACATTATAATTGTTTCAAAATTAATTAACTACATATACTATTACAAATTATTTTTTGGAAATATTATATATGGTATCTCTAAGAACTCGACTCATTGATTCTTGGATCTTTGATAGCCTATTCACACAGCACAAGTAATTGTAATTTAGATCACGACCACATTATTTCATTTTTATGATATATCAAATAAATAAATTTAAATTGATAAATTAATAAAACTAAATTTAACATTAGTTAAATCCAGACCGCGATTGCTTCTGGTCTGGACAGCCCTGATTTAGATGAACATTTTGGTTTCTTGTCTCGCTTTGTCAAAAACCTTTTCATCAATTTATTTTTATTTAATTTAATTTGCCCACCAGAAACAGTTAACTGAAGTTTTTGGGCCTCGCAACTTGAATATTGAGACTGAATTTAATAATTCGTTAATTCGGTATTCGATGCAAAAACAAACCATATAAGTTTGAACGAACTTTTTCAGTTGAATTAAAACGAAAAATTAGAAGTGGACATTCAAATCAGCTGATTTTGTTTGTGTTAATCTGCCTACAGAACAAAGTTATGATAAATAAAATTACTTGTGTTACCGAATATCGAAAACCATTACCATACCTGAAGTTGAGGTAAGCAAAATAAATATTTGACACACACAAATCGCTTTGATTAAGAAGTTAAGTCAAAGCGAAATGCACAACTAACCATACCTGTGTATTAGATAGAAACGAAATAAACAAAAGCCGCGAAGTTTGCTTATTTTGTTACTGTCACATATACGGGTATGGTTGGCTGTGCATGTCGCTTTGGCTTAAGTTTGCTTAAGTTCTTACGGTACGTATCGACTAAATGAGCTTTTAGCCAGAACTGGCTTGAGGAGTAAATGACTACTCGCAAATGTATCGAAGGATTATATTTATACTTATGTGTATTTATTATTAAGAGTATCGTGATTGTTTAAT